TAAAAGCGAAGAGAGAAACATTTGGAAAAGTGCTGTACTCAATATCTCAGCTGTTGCCAAGGGAAACACCAAGTGCAAGTATTCATCTCCTTTAGTTATAATGGGATATTTGTGTAGTGGCAGTTTTGAGTGACATATTTTAGTGACATATTTTGATTTATCCTTCATATATCAAGAAAAGATTCGAGCTCATTCTGAACTAATCTGCATATTCTTCATTTTTGCTTGCTGAATAAAGGAGGATCTTCACATAGCTGCTCACCTGTGAAAATCTCTATAGACTTTTGGTTCCCATCCCAGAATCATGCAACACCTAGATAAGGTCAACACCTAGTCAAGGTCAGGTCACCTAGTCAAGATCTAACCAGAAAGTCCAGTTGCCTCTTGAAAAAGCACTTTTGGGACAACTATGACCTGGATGACTGACAACCTCCAAAGACAGTCAGCTCTTGCAGCCTCATGACTATAGCATAGCCATGAAGTCATGATGCCCGGTGGTTTTGACAAAACCCTTAACGTTTTTGTCTATGGAGAATCTCAGTCATCCAGGTCATATCTCAAAGGTGCTTTTTTCCCTTCCCAAACAACCTTGGGGTTGTTGTATGTGGGAACCTAGCACCAAGTACTGTGAAAATTGGTTGCCCTTGGGCTATTCTCCACTGTCATTATTAAGAAGCTCCTGAGAGCTTATAGGAAATTTGAGTATCCTTTTGCTTGATATCTATGCTTTTTGTGTTATGCTTTTTAAATCTGTTTGCTTGAATTAATAACAAAGTTTAAAGATTCTTTATTCGCTGGTGAGCTCATAGTCTCTGGATTCAAAGGAACCAATTACTACCCTGACATTTGGCAAACCAGCTTCTTTTTTATTTTATTTCTTTATATCCCTTTATTATTTTTATTTATTGAGTTATTTTTACAAATAACTCAAGGCAGCAAATATATCCCACATACCTACCTCCCCTTATTTTCCACACAACAACAACCCTGTGAGGTGAGTTGGGCAGAGAGAGAGAGAGAGTGTTTGGCTCAAGATCACCCAGATGGCTTTCATGGTCAAGGCAGGACTTGAATTCATGGTCTCCCACTTTCTAGCCTGCTACCTTAAGCACTAGACCAAACTTGATGCACTGTCATAGTCACTTTGCACTACGAGAGAGGCATAGCCTTATAGATTAAGTATTTCTACATTTCAGTATATCTTCAATTTCTATTCCTTTATTTTATGTTTAATCAAAAGTTTCAAAGCGTGGGGGAGGAGATGTAACTCACACTGCATACCTTCAGCTTAACACAATATAGTTCAATCATATTTGAAAATTTGGGGTTAACAGCACGACCATCCTTAAATAAAAAAGACCAGTTGGAAATTAAATTAAATGTAAATGCTTCACAATGCAGCATCTTGCTTGCCACAGTAGTAAACCGGATACATTCAAGAAATGACAAGCAGATCTTGAAATAACTGGTGGGATTTTCACACAAAATAATGCCTGGTTAGAAGGAGATTTTCTCTTGAATGCAACAGAAAATGTTTCCCTACTTGGCCTAAATCCTGTTAATCAGCTAATTTTAATTTAACCCCTGAAGTAAAATGCCCAAAGAGGCTTTTAACACTAAGAATACAGTGAAATCTCATCTTGCTTTACTCTATTTTCTTAACCAGAAATGTCCATTGAACTGAAGAGGACAGCATAGCAAGGATTTACATTATACATCATCAGGTTATTTATACATGTTATAAATCACAAGGAAAATTTACACTACCTGTGAAATTGGGGAAAGATTTCACTGTAGTTTGGTCAAAACTAACAATTATCTCTTCTTCTGGTTGCAAATTATTCATGTATTATTTGATGCACCCTTTTACTTATCTCGATTCTCCTGCCATTTGCATGCTAATGTTGTGGAGTAAGAAGAATCTGTAGCCTGTTCAAGTATTTACATTCCACAGTTTTATCTTGCTTTTAATATCAAGGATGGGGAAAGACAACAATAGCTAAAAGGCCCAAACACCAAAGGACATGGTCTGCACATATATTCTGCACAGATCCCCAAAATCAAATTGGTTTATTTATTGTATTATTTTTATATAGATTTATATGGTCACAGATATCAGCAAAACGAAGCCATTTTATCTTCCTAAATTAGATTTTGGAGGTCAAGTAGGCTTGGGCAAAATATTTGGGAAGGACATAGGTGAAAGCTCCCATTTTAGAACTGAAAGCAATGTTATGGGATGAGACTATGTTTACAAGATATTTAAAGATCTTTAAAGCCTAAAATCTGCCTGGCCCTGACCTAAGACATCTTCTGCTAATGTTTTGCTGGATGTGTCCTACAGACCTATTTTAAAAGAATGTGAACTTCTTGGTCTTTTTTTATTTTTCTGCTTGTAGCAAGTGATAACATACAGAGTGCCAAGTTACCCAAATTCTGTGCAAAGGATTATAAAAATTAGTCTAATTAACTTGTCTCTACTTTTCATACAATTTACCCCACAAGATTTGCAGACTTCATGGCATTTAGATATTTTTCATGCAAGGAAATGGACGGCTCTGGGAAATGGAAAAAGAGTATAAGAGAAGACGACTTATAAAAAGTGGAGGTTAACAGGGAATATTGGTAGAAAGTGATTACGTAATGGTGGAGTTCTTGATTTTAAACATTTAAAAAAGCTACATAGTTTGTTGAATATTTTTCACATCTTGTGTTTTAGAAAGTGGATTTTAATAAAGGTAGTATAATTCTCTGGTGGGGAAAAATCATGGGGAAAAAGATAGTTAGTACTTAGCAATAGCACTTAAGACTTGTATACTACTTCACAGTGCTTTTACAGCCCTCTCTAAGCTGTTCAGAGTCAGCATATTGTCCCCAACAATTTGGGTCCTCATTTTACCCACCTCGGAAGGATGGAAGGCTGAGTCAACCTTGAGCCTGGTGAGATTTGAACTGCCAATTTGCAGCCAGCCAGCAGTCAGCAGAAGTAGCCTACAGTACTGCATTCTAACCACTGCATCACCACGGTTCCTAAAAATAGTACATTGGGATTCTTTGGAAAAAAACTAGAGGTAAACCAATAATTTGGGCTGTGTCTGTATTTGGAAAGCAAATGTTTAAAATGTGCCAAGTTGGCATTTGGTTGGAGAATGCCTATTTATTTTGAATGAGTTAAATGAGTCCAGGACTGCATCCACCACTGAGCCATGGTGGCTCAGTGGTTAGAGTGCAGTACTGCAGGCTACTTCTGCTAACTGCTGGCTGCCTGCAATTTGGCAGTTTGTCTCACTGGCTCAAGGTTGACTCAGCCTTCCATCCTTCCACAGTCGGTAAAATGAGGGCCCAGATTGTTGAGAGAAATATGCTGACACTATGAACAGCTTAGAGAGGGCTGTAAAGCACTGTGAAACAACATATAGGGCTGAGTACTATTGCTTTTGCTAAAGTATGGGAAGATGAACTTGTTCATGTTTAATAAATCCTGGAGAATGGAAGAAGTGCCAGAAGGCTGATGGAGCAAAACCCTGCCTGTATCTTTGAAGGAGGATCCAGAGAACTACAGAATAATCACTCTGACATCAACAACAGGGATGACTGTAGGCCAAATAATAAAAGGATCACTTTATAGCACCTTGAAAACAATACGGTAATTGCCAAAAGTCACATACATTTCTCAAGGCCAAATCTTCCCAGACTAACTTTATCTCATATTTTTTATTAGCTTCTGTAATAAATTGTGAAAATATGGTAGAGTTAATGTATCTTGATTGCAGCAAAACATTTGATAAAGTGCTCCATGACATTCTGATTAGCAAGCTTGTTAAGTATAAGCTGGAGGGTATGGTAATTAAGTGGATATATAGTTTGCTCAAAAATTGTACTTAAAAATTTCTCATCAAACTGGATGAAGTATTGAGTGGATATCATAAGGTTCAGTCTCTAGTCTTGTACACTTCAAAATTTTTATTAATGTCTTAGATGAAGAAGAGGGAATGCTTATCGGGTTTGTGTATGACACAAAATTGGATGGGATAAAAATATACTAGAAGGCAGAAATAAAATGGAAAAGAATCTTGATCTTCAAGAAATGAATACAGGAAACCTAATGGAAACCAATGGAAACTTAATGGACAATTATTTCCTTAGAAAAAAGAAACCAAATGCATAGGTCTAGGATGCTTTGGTAATTGTACGTTGTATAATAATATCTTGAAGATTTGTCCAGTACTGGGCATATTTTAAAATAAGGGAGGGAGGTTTCAAATGTGTCATCAATCTTGAGTCCTTTCACGCCCACAAGAGATCTAAGTCCAGCCCACCTTCAATTCCATTGACTCTTATCTACCACCAATTTGCTTAAACCATTAGTAGTTCAGATTCTTGTACAGAGTTATAAGCATGCAATAAACTCTTATATCTATTTGAACTGCCCAAGTTTCCTGATTTTTGTGTTGACATTGGAATCTTCACTATCCACAATCCTTGGCATAATGTTGGAAGAATTAAACTCATATTGAAATATTGAAGTGTTTTTCTAGCATTCATAAATGCTGCAACACAAACATACAAATGAAATGACACAAACACACAAAACTTATATGAGGTATACTTACAATTGTAAGTATTTTGAAATATAAATGCCAGTCAAGATTATAAAATAGTGATGAAAACAAATCAATTTGGTTTAACTAGTTTCTAATGAAGATTTTTCTAGTATGATGCTAGTCAAAATGGTTTAACTGCTTATTAAAATCATCAGACTTGCATCTAGTCAGTGAGGTATAGTTAGTTTGCATGACGTAATTAAATAATAAAAAGAATTGGCTCTAAAATACACAGCCGGTATAAAAACCATTAATCATAAGAACATTCATTTGAGGGTAGCACATTAAATTTGCATGTGCTATAATTTCTTGATTTTTTTCAGATATTAAATGTAGGAAAGCTTTATGAAATCTTTTGATGTATATATATAAAAAGTCTTTTAGTAGAATTCTTACCATGCTTCAGATGTAGGCAGCTGTCATTCGTGGGGCGGTACCTGTAGAAGATTGTTGTTTTTTAAACAAATTTCACTGAATAATTTTTTTGCATACCCCAAATAAAAGGTCTTATGCTAGAATATGCATTGCTGATTGATTTCCTCTGCTTTTTATGGTTCTTATACCAGCCATTTTTATTTTTATTTTAAAAATTGAGAACCTCACTGATGCTTTTAGCAAAAAGATTTTTAAACCATTTCTTTTCTTTTTTTTTTTTAAATGTACTGTATGTCAATATAAAATCTCATTTGAATGATGCTTGATTCTGCAGTTTTCTTGGCAACAATATGGAAGTAGTTTGCCATGGCATCTTCTGGGAAGATTTTCTTTTTTAATTCCCAATCTACAACCCCAGTTATTCTTCTATCCAAATATTTTACAGGTCTGACTTTGTTTAGCTTTCTGAATTAACTAATTCATAATTTATCCATGAAATTTACTGATTTATTTACAAGGCTCGTAAGCTGCTCCAACTGACTTTTCTCCAATGAAGAAATAAGTTGATTTAAAACCTCTGCTTAACAGCCCTTAACAGCAGCCCCAAAAAGAAAATATTCTTCACACTTCTGGAAGTCAGTAGTGGATTGATGGAGCTAAAGTGAAATTTATGGCATGGGGAACCAAAAATAGCTTCTCAGGTAATGTTTCCTGAATCTAAGCATTGGTAAAATAAAAGCCCGCTGACTTTTTGTCAATCCTTCTTCATTTTGTTCAGATATACAGTACAAGTTGATAGTGTTAGTTTTGCACTAATAAATCATACATGGACAGTCTTTTAGTAATTTCTCATGCACAGTCTTCAGTAGACCATTGATGCATCAGAAAGTTGCAAATACAAGCTGACCTGTTGAAAGCTGTTCTTTACCCTCTTTATTGATATAACTTTGGCACAGAAATTAGAGCAATTATGTTAATTTAAACCTAATGGTGCTATTTCCAATCTTTGAGCCTTTACTGACAACCAAAAGAATGAAAATTAATTTCTTCTCCAATTACTGAAAGAAAGCTTCATTCCAAGTTATCCCTTTATAATGAGACTAAAATTTTACTCTTAGCTTGGGTGCATGAGGGTAAGGCCGTAGAGGTGGCATCAAAAAGAATTATTAGAATATGTATTGTCCTTTATGGAGAGAAATTGAAATCATGAAGCAATGTGCTTGTTTTTTAAAACACAGCTAATGTTTAACATGAATATCTACCCACAAATATACCTGATGTTGACTCCTGTAGCTTCTCTCTCTTCCTCTTTTTCTTCTTTCCCTTTAAAAAGTAGGGGGAAAATCTTTATTTATGATAAGGAAATAAATAACAAGAAAAGAGATTGTTCAGAGTTGTGGTGGCGCAGTGGTAGAATGCAGTACTGCAGACTAATTTACTGCTCACTCCAGGAGTTAGATTCTGAATTCCACTTGACTCAGCCTTCCATCCTTCTGAGGTCAGTAAAATGAGGACCCAAACTATTGGGGGCAATATGCTGATTCTGTAAACTGCTTAGAGAGGGCTGTAATGCATTATGAACTGATATATAAGTTTAAGTGCTATTTCTATATAAGCAATCCTAAAATATTCTATGTTGCGTTTCTGTTTCTATAATTCTCAAGGACAAATGTTAAATTTTGCCTATATTTTATTATAGACAAGCTATTTTTGTTTACATTAACTTCTGCCATTCTACCCTTGTCAGATTGACAAGAGGCAGGCAATCATAGAGTTCACATCAATCTCACCAAAAGTTACTTGCAAATCCTTTTTCAGATGCAGTAGACATTACGTTCAATGGAGGATCACTGTGACAGAAATTCTAGGAAAAGCTTCTTTAATGATCCAGAAATATGAGACAGGAAAAGAACTTGCTTGCTGGGAGTTGCAGAATAGCTGCACTATTTATTTAACTTTGTGTTACAAGAAATGCTGGATTGCAACATCTGTATCAGCCTCCTGGAATAAACATGGGCTTTTCCTCATAAATGGCAATCCCAGTAAGCTTCACCTTAACCTCAAAATTCCTCTGCTAATTAAGTTTTGCACTGTAGGTCCAGTTTTATTCATCATTCATAACCAGTATTTAAACTGAAGGGGGGGGGGGAGAATTCATTAAAAATTACAATGACATTTCACTAAAGAAAAGATCCTTCACAAGCTATTTGTGAGACATAGAATTAGAACAATGTGTGCATCATGAACATTTAAGGAAATAAAAAAGTAATCAAACTGAATATATAGAGTAGTTACTGTTGGCTAACTAGAGTCTAATTTGAGAAGCTGCTAAAAGTATTGCTGTGAAGTCTTAAAGGAATTTACAATCCCCATGCTAAGAATCAAAATATCTACTAATGTTCTTAATTTCCAATAGCTGGATAGGCTGTTATCCTTTCTTTTTCTTTGCATCTTAGCATAATTCATTAAAACTGAATAAGGTTTACAAAATGGACTGACACATAAACTGCTTTGTTAAATGAATGTAGGTACTAGGCAGAGATGATTCACTGTGCTCTGAAGCTCATTGGCTCTTTTATGGAATTTGACTAAGGCAGTAAGTCTATTTATCTGGCATTAACTAGGCACATGAGATTAAGGATATATCCCACTATCGATTGAAATCTTAATGAATGTGTGAGAGACTATATTTTCAAAGTCAGAACTATGGCTGGGATTAGGCTCTTCTTTGAATTGTTTATTTAAGAGTCATCAAGGCCCTGCCTTAACTAACTCTCAGATAAATAAGTCTCTGGCTATTCTAAGTATGGATTTTTCTTAAAGAAGTATTTACAAAGTTAATGGAAGACATATTGTTTAATTGTAATGAAATATTGTTATAATGGGACATCTTATTTTTTTTTGGGGGGGGGGGACATCTTAGAGGGGAAAACTCACAATTTGAAAAAAAAAAAAGTGCTGCTAACTGAAGCCTTTCTTTTTAACAATAACAGATATCCCGCAGCCAAAAGGATTGCTGCTCAACTCAATACACACTACGTTTTGTTTGCTTTAGGACACAAATTGCACATGGCCAAGATAAATTCCAAGATAATTCCAGTAGGACATCATTCAAATGACAATCATTATCATGTGTATTTATTAACCATAGGATAAGCCTATGTCAAAACAGTTATCAGTTTCAGGACATAAATCCCTGTGCCAAGATATGCAAAACAATTTTCTAATACCAAATTGCCATTTGGGTATATTTTTCGGGTAGGCAAAAAGCTGGACCAAAAAAACCCCCAAACAAGAACACTTGGAATCCATTTGTACATGTAAAAATGGTCCTAAAAAGAGAGAAGAGAAAAATGTATGGACCTCAGACTGAACAAAATGCCAAATACAATCAGGGGTGGGATTCTACTGGTTTGGCCCGGTTCACCTGAACCGGTAGTTCCAAAGATCATCTGGAAGCAAACCGATTCGCTCCGACGATCAGTTGCTGGGCCCGCCCGCCCGGGCTCTATACTGACCTTTATTTCCTGCTTTTGAAGTTCAGCTGTATTGCGCAGCACAGCAGATTGCTGCTCACAGCTGTTGAAGACACAGGAAGAGTGCAGGAGAAGCCCAGTAGGAAAGCCTCTGCACACGCGAAGCACATGTTTGCTGTGCATGCACTCAAGGTGTGCGTACACATGCAAAGCACGCCGACTGAACCAGTGGTAAAACAATTTGAATCCCACCACTGAATGCAATGAACCTTTTGTTCCATGCGCACATTCAGATTGCTATGTCTTCCTTACAGCAAGATTGAGAAAATGTAAATACAAAGCTTACATAGTTGTCTCTTGCTGACCAGCCAGGATAAAGTTGCATGTGTAGCTGCCTTTCTTTCCGAGCGAGTTCATAATATTTTGCTTGTTCTTCACGCGACAAGGCATGCCACTGCAAGTGAAGTGAAAAAAAGAATAAGCTACAGGTGCAGATATCTATGGATATGAATTCCAAGGTAGTCCGGTGCATGGAAAAACACAACTCCAGAATGCTTGCATGTTACCAATAGCAATATAAGAAACTTGCACAATGTGCACAACTGATGTCAGGCAGAGGACTTTTTAAGTTTTTAAATATGTTATTTTTAACATTTCGTGTGGAAGGCCTTTGAGAAAACATGGGAACGGAGGGAGAGCATGTATGTTTTCCTGCTCCTGCTGCCTTTTCTATACTCTGATGACTTTTGATCAGGCAGCCAAAAGTTGAAGCACTCTTTGCCAATAATCAGCAGGGCAGGTTGTGAAAAATTATTTAGGGGTAATATAATAACTCATCATTTGCATGTGTCTCTATTTCTTGACCTGAAAGTCTGTTTATTCAGTATGACAGGGACAGCTGGAATGCATGGAGTTAAATATTGAAGCACATCTGATGACATTTGGGGTGGAGGGGCAGCAGATGGGGTGGATAGTGCAACAAGAGAGACAGCTAAGGAATGATAGTCTGAAGCCACAGAAACAAATCCAAAACAAAAATGTAAAACACAGAAGAGGAAAGGCCAGGCAGTGGGTCTGATGTTAGGGTAAAAATATTGCTGGAAACTTTGAATAAATATGGCATTCACATGACAATGAATGAAGATGATGATACCCAACGATGTATCTCTTCTACTGATGAATTAAGCAATGCTATGAATATCTTATCTCAGGGCCTGGAGGCTGCAAGGTCTGGAGGGGTTTCAGATTAATCCTGGCAACTTTGAGCAGCTTTAGGTTTGGGAGCCTGTTGCTTCTAGGACTATGTCATGTTTGGATGGGGGTCATACTGCTCCAGACTGATATGGTGCACATTCTGGGGGGTCCTTCCAGGCTTAGACTCCTGCTTGAACAGTAGGCAACACTTAAGACTTTTGCACAACTTCATGTTGTATGTCAGTTGCACCCATTCCTGGACTGGGAAGCTCTGCCCAGAGACACTCATATCTCAAGTCACTTCCAGATTGGACTACTGTAATATGTTCAATATGGGGCTGCTCTTGAAGAGGATCTGGAAGTTTCAACTGGTGCAGAATGAAGCCACAGGGGCAATTGTTTGTGTTATCAGAACTTTTGTGACCCAAAGGTGCTTTTTTCAAGAGGCAACTGGACTTTCTGGTTTTTATTTGAAGACGTTTTGCTGCTCATCCAAGAAGCTTCTTCAGCTCTGAAGAAGCTGAAGAACCAGAACTGAAGTAGCTTCTTGGATGAGAAGTGAAACATCTTCAAAGAAAAACCAGAAAGACCTGTTGCCTCTTGAAAAAAGCACCTTTGGGACAACCATGACCTGGATGACTGAGAATCTCAATAGACATCCTGTTCTGTGAGTTGCATTGGCTGCCAGTTTGCTTCCACCTCCAATTCAAGGTGCTGGTTGAAAACCCTTCCTGGCATAGGACTGGGTTATCTTAGCAACCATCTTTCCCAATTATATCACAGTCCATCCCATTAGATCTGGCAAGGAAGGTATGTTGTTGCTACCATTGGGTGATAGGTCCCAGAAGACGAGCCTTCTCTGCTGTGGTGCCTGCCATATGGAACATTCTCTCCAACTCAGGTTCGTTCCTCTCTTTTAATGTTTCAGAAGTCCCTCCAGGATCCCAGAGAACAGAAGACATTTTAAGATGGCTCCACTAGTAAGGTTGATAGGTTTACTTCTTTCCATGCCTTGTAGTTTTGTGTATTTTAAATGTTTGTAATTTTTTAATTTTTCAAAAAAAATACTGTTTTTTTTTTAATCTTTGGGTTGTTTTATTGGCATGTTCTATGCCACCCAGAGTCATGAAATGAGCAACTATATAAATCTAATAAGTAAATAAAAGCAATTTCAATATTTAGGATCATGGAGATGATGCCATAGGAATCAACTATATGGGAAGGAAGACCCTTTCCTGATTCAGAGTGGCGCAGTGGTTAGAGTGCAGTACTGCAGCCTACTTCTGCTGACTGCTGGCTGCCTGCAGTTCGGCAATTCAATTCTCACAGGCTCAAGGGTGACTCAACCTTCTATCCTTCCGAGGTCGGTAAAATGAGGACCCAGATTATTGGGGACAATATGCTAACTCTGCAAACCTCTTAGAGGGGGCTGTAAGGCACTGTGAAGCGGTATATAAATTCTAGTGCTAGTGCTTTTCCTAACTGCTTTTCACAGATTAATTAGTCATAGCAATGAAATATTGAAGAAAGGCATTTTGAGTAAGAATCAGTAATAGTAATCAACAATTAAAATGTTCAAGTCAACCAACCCATGCATTAGTCTGCTTTTTTATAACCATGCAGTCCTGAAGCATGCTCACTGAATGATTTCTGAGCAACAGCTTAGCAACAACAAGAATGTACTTTAGAAGGCTAATCAAAATCTTCCACCTTGGGGTGTTTTGGGTCACTTTTTCAATCATGTGGATATTTCAGCTACAGGCTGTTATCTGCCTAGTTCCTAATGAAGGCCCTTTAAAGCACCACTTCTTATTGTTGAGCTTAGTACTTACATTGTTTAAAAAACAAATTGTAGTTTAACATTCCAAAAATACTGAACCTGAGGCATTTTTTTAGAACAAGTGAGCTGCTCTTCTATTGCACATATACACAACCTTCCCTGAACCACAGCAGCCTTCGCCCTTCAAGCAGCAGCCTGATCCAATCGCTGCAGCTGCCCATCAGCTGTTTCACAGCAGGAAATTAGGGTAGAAGCCTGCAGTTTCCAAGAGCTAAGCAGCAGGAAACATGGGAGGGAGCCAAGAAGAGAGATGAAGTGCCAAAGACACACTGCATTAGCGAGGAAGGAGAGCTGTTTAAAAATATTAGCAATGGAAGTTTGGGGGTTTTTTTGGGGAGAAATCTTATCTTTTAGACACATAACCAAATCATAATATTCTGAATTATCTGCCATTCAGTCACATTTTAGGCAACAGAAAACTTGGCTGTTGCAACCCAACATTTTGATATTATTGATTTTACTTTATATGTTGCATTTTGGTTTATTCTGTAAGCCAGCTTCAATGCTTATATAGCAGCAAAGCAGGGATATGTGTAATATTATAACATTTAAAATTTAATAAGTAGCATCACCTAGATTTTTAAAATCAGTTCTTTACTGTTCTCTAATGGGCAATACTAAACATGTGTACAACTGAATTCATATTATTTAGAGAAGGAATGAGCCTTTAAGAATTTCAATCCTTTAAAACAAAACGAAACATCCTGTCCTATTCTTTTGTGAAATAACCCCAGAGAGAGGCTTCACTGAAGCTTTGGCTAGAGTCCCACAATGCTATTTCTCCTTTCACTACAATGCAATTTCAGTTGTTTGCCATCTGCTACTATGTACAGACTATGCTTTTAACAGATCAGTGCAAATATTAGAAAAATGATATTTGCACTATTATGCCAATAGCCAAATCTACAGATGCTCAGAGCCAACTCAAACTCAGATAGAAATAACTGTAAAGTCAAGACTTCTCTGGGATTGCCAGGTATTCAAAAGATAAGGTCAGCATACAGGCCATTGATAAGACCATAATTTATGCAGAAGTAGCCTGAATGAGAACTCTTTAATATGCTTCCTTGAAGTGTATGTTTAAAATGTTTCACTTTTGATACTTGCTAAAATGGTGTTGGCTCAAAAAAACAACAACCATAACATGGTAGGCATAAAATGGGGACAATGTGGCAAAACTAATTTTAATTTTAAAGTCTCCTTCCAGTAGAATTCAATTCCGGACACCCAATAGTTTTCTTGGCAATAACGTAGAAATGGCTTTCTTTGTAAATCTGTTCTACCAGGTCATTAAAAAAAATTCCAGCATAACTTACTGGAAAAATTCCCTATAGCACTCCAACCAAATATTAACCAAGCCCGATCCTATCTATCTGAGACAAGTCCAGCCACTTGCTGAAAACATGTGGAATCTTAAGGAGGCAGAAGAGCACATGGTGAAAAAAGAATTGGAAAATATCCTTGTGGCATATTACCCACTAACCAATCAGCTCTGTAGACTACCTCAAATCAAAGTATAATATCTAGATTCATAACCCCAAAACCCATCCAGAAAAATCCCTCTGTCAGTTTATCTTGATACTTTATAAGTATTAACCTATATACTATACTATACTATACTATACTATACTATACTATACTATACTA